AAGTAATAAGTTAAGTATGCTTGTTTTAATTAAACAAACATATAGATTTTCAAAGTGAAGGTGCAGTAGGGATGTAGAATTACATGCCATTACTTCTCTATACAATTGGTTCACAAAAAAAACTACTCAATCTCCCACTCTAAATAATCCTTAAATTTAAAGTCTTTGTGTGTTTTTGGCAAATCTTTAATTTCAAAACATACATGCTCTTAACCCAACTACAAAAACATTAATTGAATCCTATTACATAATTTATACTTGTGCTTTCCTAGCATCAGGCACATCTCCAAATGTCAGGTTGCATAATTTTGTAAGACGCTTATTGATGTTGATTACACAGGAAAATATGAACCTGATGTCGGGAGTCATACACCAGTTTTTTACTAATCAGCAAAGTTGATTTCCAATGTTGCTGATGTGGTAATATAAAAATCTGATGCGCGAGCCAACTGCCATCTATTATTTTAAAAAAGGATCTAAACGTATAATGAAATAAATTTTACTCTTGATCATTACTTCTCATGTACACTCCTATGCACGAGTACACATAAAATTTCGTACTGGGATTTCCCCTAATCATTCATATCTATGGATTCCCTTGTTTTACATTCTCCTCCTTTTCTCTCTTTTATAGCTGTTTTAATTTTCCATTTCCTTTCATCATCTATCCACTCTTTCTTATACCAAGAACATCATAATCACTTTGGTTGTATTACAACCTCTACACTAATGTACGTAAAACCAAGGTAAACTTTACTACACTTGTGTTCATTTCAATACACTCATATCCAAGGCTTGTATCCATTTTCAAACCAAAAAAAAAAACTCATACCGTTTGATTCAATTACACCTTTTTCTGGAATAATTTAAATTCAAGATATTTGCTCCCAACACCATCAGTAAATAAGAAATTAAATAAAATAGGTACAACCCATTCTAGAGCAATTTCAAACATCATTCTTGAAGTTAATCCATAAATCTTTTGAATGAAAACTCTTTCAATCCAAAAACACACCAAGACGATCATAAAAATATGGCAAATAATTATCTTTGGTGAGAATAACTAAAATCACATAAGGTAAGAAGAATGGATAAAAACTTAGGCAACTTACACAAGGCAAGAATTACCAAAATTATTAGGTTAAAATTACTAAAATTGTTTGACGCAATAAATTATAAGGAGTATTTTAACATTGATTTTTACAATGTGAGAACTCCAAAATTAGCTTTAATTATGGAGAAAAATACGAAGCATGTTTTTAATATGGCAAAGAGTTGATTGCCAACTCATACTCCGTAGATTACATGGCATGTTTCAAAAAATTGTCAAATGTACTGTTACTCGTCAAATTCTA